AATTATTTTTAAAAGATTTTACCAAATTTTGATTATTTGGAAATTTTTAATTTCATATATTAAAAACCTAATCAATAATACTAAAACTCTTATCTATAAAAAATTGTTTTAAAATATTTAAAAAAAATTAATTTTAAGAATTTATTATAATTTTCTGAAAATATTATACCAAAATAATTTTAAGGAAACAGTTACATTTATTATTATAAAAAAATGAATTTTTGTATTTAAATAATTGAATTCTCGAAGAGCATTCGGAAAATCATTTAAAATAATTGATTGAAAAAATTAGAAATTAAAATTAATATTTCTTTTTAATTTAAGAAATATTTTTGTAAAATTACAGCAAATTTGCACAAGAAAATAAATTTCAAGTAAATGCATTCACTTGATTCAATTAAACTTTTTTCAGAGCATATTTATTGTAAATTAATATTTAATAAAAATGATTTCTTTATATTGAAACTACTTTTTTTTTTACTGGAGAAACGTGTTTATGGCTTTTAGAACATTTAATGGCATAAAAGTGACAATTTAAAATGGATTTGAAGATTTTATGACTTCACATTGGAAAATAGAGTAAATTCCGGTATATGACGACTGTGTCTATAAATGTGTGTATGTGTGTCAATCGTAAAACTATAAACAGTTATAAAAATCGTTTTTCAAAACTTTCCGTCATTCTTTCAAGGGAAAATGCTATGTATTTTATTCTTCAAACCAATTTATCTTCATTTCCTTTGTAAACAAGAAAAATTAACATTTTTCTTTCCTTGGAAATATTTTTACTTTTTTGTATCTTCCTTTTATTTACTATTTTTATTTTTTATTTATATGTATTTTATTTTGTATGTATTATGTATTAGTATTTTGATTTTGAATTTTTTTATTTACCCTTTCAATTCACTTTTTGAATTTCGTTTTTTATTTATTTATTTATTCAATATAGACGGGCAAAGAAATTCAATTTTTCTATTTACTTTCTGCATTCGGTTTTTTACCATTTTTATTTATTTACTTATTTAATAAAGACGGTCAAAAAAAATTTAATTTCTAATTTTTTATTCACTTTTTGAATTTTGGTATATATTCTACTATATTTTAATTTTTTTATTTACTTTTGGAATTTTGTTTTCTATTTTCACTTTCAATAATACATTTTTTATTTAATTTCTTAATTGTAATTTTAAAAACAAGTTTTAATTTAGAATTTTTTTTTCTTTCGTAAAGAGCAAAAATCAACATAAGGTCACGTGGCATTTAAGAGAATTTCTAAATACATTTTGTATATATGTATAATAAATGTCATTTTTCTCACTAAAAGTAGAATTACAAATGCATATATACAATTTATAATTTACGCCTCTTTTTTATGCTCATTGATCCTATATTTATATGCGTTAAATGCAACAGCAAATCTCATTGAAAATGAATCTTTTCAGAAAAAGTATCTTTTACGTAACTAAAAATCATATATTTTAAAATTTAATTATATCATAAATTAAAAACTTTTTTTTATTAATTACTAATATAAATTTTTTTAACCACAACGAAGATGTAAAATAATCTTTCTTAATCCTAGACTATTTATTAACCCTAAAATAATTATATAACCTAATTTAAACCATTATTATATAATTCTAAAAGCGAAAATAGTTTTCTGTACTTTTTTTCAACCTGTACAATTTATTTTTAATCCCCTAGGGAGAAAAGACGGTCTTTTTTAAAGACCCAGCACTTTTGAAAAAAAGTCTATTGAAAAAAAATTCCATTGAAATACAGATTTTGTAAAAAATAAATCTGCACCATTTGTGATGAAAATTTTTAAGTTCTATTGAAAAAAAATTTATTAAAATATAGATCTAAAAAAAATAAATTTTTACTTGGGTCAAAATTTCTCAGAAATATCAATGTTGGTTAGGGGTCTTTTGATTTTTTTGAAAATGGGCATAATATCTTTAGTGTTAGGAAAGATCTGTTTGTGGGTCAAAGGGTTATCAAAAATTTTCAAAATTATTAGAGTTACGGTGCTTTTAATTTTTAGGTTAAATTTTTTTTAAATAAGATATTTTTGACAAATTTTCATAAATCTTTTTCATATTTACAGGATGAACAGAAAATTTACAACCGTTTAAAATAAAAATTTTAATTTAAACATTTTTCAAAAATTTGCCCGGAAAAAACTAAAACTAAAATTTGAATAACTTCGAAAGTTTTAGACCCTCCATCAATTTTTTTTATGAAAAAACGCAGAAAATTATAAGAAATCCAAAAATTGTTGTTTTATTAAACTAGCTCATATGGTCAAATGAGTGAAAAACTAATTTCAAAAAAATTTTTGAATTTTTTCCGGCCAAATTTTAAAAAAAATGTTTAAATTACAATTTTTATTTTAAACGGTTGTAAATCTTCTGTTTATCCTTTAAATATGAAAAAGATTCATGAATATTTGTCAAAAATACCGTATTTCAAAAAAAATTTAACCTAAAAATTAAAAGCACCGTAACTCTAATAATTTTGGAAAATTTTGAAAGCCCTTTGACCCACAAACACATCTTTCCTAACACTAAAGATATGGCCATTTTCAAAAAAATCAAAAGACCCCCAACCAACATTGAGTTTTCTGAGAAATTTTGACCCCCACTTGTAACAAAATAAAAATTCTATTTTTTTTATTTAATTTCTTTATAATTGTGAATAAATACAAAAAGTGGGAGGGGACGAAGAGTATTATAAAGTTATGTTGAAATAAAATTTATCATCCTTATATAAGAGTCTCTTATTTGGATTATATTCTTTTCTTAACGAGTTCTATACACAGACAGGCGCAAAAATAATACATTTTTTTATGGGAATTGAATTTATGTGTTTGTTTCTTCAAGAGACGAGTTTTTTTTATGGTACACTGTAGAATAAAAATAAAAATAAATTATCAATGAAATTGTTCAAGCATCGCATCGGGATAACTAGATTTGCATCTCTAAATTTGTGCAATGACTACGCACTTCTCTCTAGTTGTAAAAAAAAAAATTGTACTCCTACATTTTTTTGTACATTTAAATTTAATAAAATATTGCGAAAAAAGGGAAAAGGAGAGAAAAAGAAGTAGAGTGAGGGACAGAGAGAGAGAGAAACTGATACTATATTATTTCGATATAAATTCTCTGCTGTATTGACTCGTTCCTTTTTATAAATTCAAAGGACAGGCGAAAGAAAAATGTTCCATGTGACCTTTCATATAAGCATGTCTTATTTTTTCTTCCCGTTCTTTAAATTTCTATCTTTTCCTAATTTTTTTTTTTTTTTTTTTTTTTTTTAAATTGCCTACGACGAATTACGTGCCCCGTATATGAAAAATATTCGTTGAAAGGTTTTTATAACGCGCGGGCGCTCTCTCTCTCTCTCTCTTATATACGAGTATGAAACATAACTTTAAAGAGTGAAGTAAATAAAAAGTCGATACTATCCATGCTCTGATAATTTTTAATATGTATTCACCTCTTTTCTACATCATCATTACATTTTTTTTATATTAATAATTTTTACAAGATGTCCTCATATTTTGAATACAGAATCGCCCCCTCTCTCTTTCTCCATATTTTATTGGAAATTTTGAACTCTTTTTTGTTCATTCTCTTCCTCTCTCTTTTTTAGTGGAAATTTTTGAACTTTTTTTTTGCTTTTAACGATTATTCTCTTTTTCTACTTTTTTTAGTAGAAATTTTGAAGTTCTTTTTTGGCTTTTTTTGTTTATTCCCCCCCCCCCCTCTCTCTTTTTTTCCAGTGGAAATTTTAATTTTTTTTGTTTTTATCGTTTATTTTTTCTCTGATTTTTTTGACTGGAAATTTTAATGCTATTTTACTTGAACTTACTGTAGAACTCATTATTTTTGCTATTGATATTCGTTCTTTCTCTTTTTTTTGCAGAAACTTTGTATTTGCGATACTTTACCTATTATTATTAAAAAAAAAATTTTTTTTTCAGCATTTATTTTTTATTTTCTCTATGTCTCTCTCTTTTTTCCAATGGAAATTCTGATCTCTTTTATATGCTTCTTTCTTGTTTATATTCAATTAGCGTAGGTATAACAACTTTATCATACAAAATATTGTACGTAGTATAATTTTTATTTTTTATTTTTTAATGGAAAAGTTCTTCGCCAATTATACGATGTCTCACGAAAAGATAGTAATTATTATCAATTTTTGTTATACGTTATTAGAAAACCGTGTATAATTAAAGTAAAATAATATAATTACCATTTTTAAAAAAAAAGTTCATACACATGGTAATTAAATTTTTTATTTTTTTTTTGAATAACTTTCCGGTGAATAGTAATTGGCAATTTGTGTGGAAAATCTAATCAGCCATATTATTATCTTCATTTAATTTTATCATTTAAATTATTAATACGTGAGAATTGTTATTATTATGATTATTAATAACATTATTATGGTCATTTTATTCTATAATCACTATTTTATAAGAAAAATTACTATAAATAAACAATGATTAATAAAAACCAATTTTTTCCCTCACTTTTATTATTGTATTATTAATATTTATTTAATTATTTAACCGAATGTAACAAACAATAAGATATTATTGTTATTGCTGTTATTGTTATTAGTGTTATTTATAATCAATATTATCACTTTCCTGATTATTATTAAAGTTTAATATAAAATTACCACTAGCGAGAAAGTCAATGGCTCCCTCTGTCAATTAATTCTAACGCGGGCTTTCTAAAAATTTTAAATTCCTTTTTTCTTTTTTTACTAACAATTAATTTTCTTGTTTTAATAATAACAATAAATATTCATTATTGTTAATTTGCTACTTTTATTTACTAATAAATAATAATAAATAATATAATTATAATAATTATAATTATAAATTATAATAAATAAGAAAAAATGAAAAATATTTTTTTTTAATAAGTAAATAAATTGTAAAAATTTATTCTTTCAATATATTTTAATGGAAATTTTTTTTTCAGCTTCTGGGAAGTCAAACGGAATATCATTTCGTTCATAGGGCCCTACCACACGCAAGAAGCAAAAGGTCCGTCCCACACATGAGAAAGTTGAAAGTGGATCCTTTGGTAAGAAAATAATTTTTATTTTTTTCATTTTTGCCTCAACCTTTTTTTTAAATGTAACTCTCCCCATTGTTTAAGAAAAAAAAAAAAATAATAATAAGTTCTTCGATTTTAAACATATATTTATTTCCCTCGAGACAAATCGTTTTCCTCTTTCTTTTAATGTGAAAAATTTTTTTCCATTTAGTTTAATAATAGTTTCATTGAATTTTACACTGTTCTTACTTTTATAATATTTTTTCTTTCTATTTTTTCATAATTCGGTATTTTTAAAATAATTATTTTTTAACTTAATTTTCGCATCTGATTAATTAATTTGCATCTAATTAAACTCCTTTTTTCTATCTCTAATTTTCCAGATTCACACAGCTGTTCAGCAACAGGGATTCAAGAGAGTTAAACGAGGCTATAAACCATTGAGTGTCGATAAATTAGTGCCATTGTATCAAATGAGCGATCTCTCGAATCCCGCCAGTCGAGATCCAACGGATCCATATTTTCAATATCAATGGTACTTGAAGAATACGGGACAAAATGGCGGTAAACCAAAACTCGACTTAAATGTTGAGTCTGCGTGGGCGCAAGGTGTGACTGGAAAAAATGTTACAACTGCTATTATGGACGATGGTGAGAAAAAAAATTTCTTTCCTGAAAAAAGAAACAATATTGTCATTTTTAGATACATTAATGTCCAAAAACTAAAATTGTAGTAAAAGAGAAGAATTTTTTTTAAATTTAGAATTATCAGCGTTTGATATTTTATGACGATAGAGAAGTTTCTGACGCCGGAGAAAGCGCGCACCAATCAGCGCGCTTTCCCCCACTACCAAGCGCTCTACAACGGTTTCCGCGAATTTCTCCCCGAACACAGTGTTTCTCAACTTCAGCATCAGACCGCAAGTGCCAAATATGACACAAACAAAAATCTATATACTATTCAAAAAATTCAATTTACAAAATTAAAAACGAAAAATAATATTTAAAAGAAAACGAAAAATACTATTGAAAAGAAAGAAAACAAAAAAAATAAATAAAAAGAAAAATTAGTTTTAAAATAATACTAAAATTAAAAGAAATAAAAACTCAAATATACGTGGGTTGCAAAATGAAGAAGAAAATATTTATTCATGTCTAATATTAAAAAAAATGTACAGTATTTTAATTAAATTACCAAATTTCATTTTCCCACTGAATCTAATTAATTTTCTTTTTCTAACTTTTAATTTGCATTAAAAATGCAAAAATTTTCCAGAGATTATTAAAAATATATAAATTACACATATATCAGTTGAATTTAAACTACAGTTCTATCCTCTTGATATATATGCATCTACATGAACTCGGATCAGATTTAATCAATATCTCCATTTCACTGGATTTTAAGAGGATTACATTTAACACGATTGTCTCTGGCTCTGTTTTCTGATTGTTTCATGATGGAACCTTATATAAAATTACAAACTATACCGGATTGTCCCATAAATATTTTAAGGAAATTTTAACGATTTTAGAGACGAATATTTTATTTTAAGGCGAAATAAAAAATAATTATTCTAATATTTACTAAGAAAATTTTTAAATTCAAGTATTACTTTTTTATAATAATAATAATAATAATAATATAAATAATATATTATATATATATATATATATATATATATAAAATTTTTTATAATAATAATAATAATAGTAAACAAAAATGAACTAATTTACTCCCTAGAGGGAAGAAATCTACTTTGACAATTAGGAAAAGAAAAGTTATTTTACCCCCCCCCCCCTCCCTCTAGGAGTAAATAATCATTAAATAATAATGAATTATTATTAAATAATAATTTTTTTTTAGAATAAAATAACTACTTTCTTTTAAGAAATAAAAAACTGTTTTACTCCCTAGGGAAAAATATGTTTTCCTCACTAGAACAAAAATGAACGAATTTACTCCCATAGGGGTAAATAATCATTAAATTATTAAATTTTAATTAATTATTATTATAAAAATTGTTTATTATTAATTGAATACATCAATTAATTACCAAAATGTAATTTTAATTAAAAAGAAAAAAAATTTTCTAAAATTTTTTTCTCTGTACTTTCTAGTTATGATTATTTTTTTTTCAACTCATAAACTAAAGAAAACTGTTTACAAATACCAAGCAAATATTGAATATGATGCACTAAAAATATTTTCTGAAAGTATGATAATAAAAACGATAATAATAACAACAACGATGATAATAATATCAAGACATCCAGATTTTATTAGATAATAAATTTTATGGATAGTAATAAAATCAGTTTCAAATGGCTTATTAGTATTGTTCACATATTTTTGATTAAAGTAACTTTAATTTTATTGATAAAAAATTAATACTTATCCTGTTTGAAGAAACATGTGATAAATATATATACTTATAAAAAATTATAAATTAAATATACCTGGTTATTTAAAAATTTGCTATAAATAGAAAATCTTTTTTAGGTGTTGACTACATGCATCCAGATTTGAAATTTAATTACGTGAGTATTTTTTTCGTATTTTTATTCCCTTCTTTCTATAATAATCCTTATTAATAAAATCAGACTTTTGTCTGTACATTGCATAGAATTCAAAATTTCTATTATATTCCTCTTTTTACACTCCGAAAATTTTTTTCCAAATCCGAAAATACTATTAAGAAAATTATGTGTGTGTGTGTGTTGAATTAGTTAAAAATAACTAATTTGATAATAAAAAGTCAGTCACTGATTCAAATAGTAATATTTTCCTACTGAAATAGTTAATAATAACTAATTATTTTTTTTTCACGGTCAAATTAAATTCTCGTCTATTTCCCGGTTTTCTAGATTGGTAGACAACTGTTAAATGCATTGTTAGAAACTAAAACCCGTCGAAGATGGATACGACAGCTAGTAATAATAATAATAATAATAATTATAATAAGGAAAAGTGCTTGTTTCATCTATAAATAAATAAAATAACTAATAATAACTAATGCCAATTTCATAGAAATAGTGTCTCCAAAAATAGATTTTTATATTAAAAAAAAATATTTTTTCTCTCAAGTAATTAAAAATTTAATATCTTCTCTCAATTTCTATTAATTGGCTTCAAGTACCAACCTAACTTTATTATAATTTTTTTTCCATTTTGCGATAAAGGAAACTTCTCTTTAAATTTATTTTCATCGTCTCTGAAATTATTATATTTTCTATAAAGTATAGATATTAAAAATAAATAAATTTAAATAAAAAAGTGGAAAAATCATAATTTAATTTAATATTTTTCCTCTATAATCTTTTTTTTAATATAATCTTTAAATAAAATCTTTCCTCAAAAAAAAAAAAAGGTTGAGATGGATATTAAAGAGCAGAAAATATATTATCATTTTTTGCTTTCAGTTTAGAGTAAATAATTTTAGAAATATTGAAAATAACAAAAGAAAAAAAATCTTGACATTTATTTATTTTCAGAATGCTCCGGCTTCCTACGACTTCAGTAGTAATGACCCTTATCCTTATCCAAGGTACACGGACGATTGGTTCAATAGGTAAAGTAAATTAATTTATTAATAACAATTAATTTATTATTTAATTAATTTAATAACTAACTTATTATTGAATTAAAAATAAATTTATTTCCTATTAATTAATAATTGATAATTATTAATGATAATTATTATAAATTACTTACGAGTAATTAATATTAATATTGTAATTAATTATAATCTATTATAATAATAATTTATAATATATTAACTATAATTATTATTATAATATTAATAATTATTACTTATAATTAATTATTATTTTTTCATAAACTGTACTTAGGGATAGAAATTTCTAGTTTTTTCTCAATTGTGCAATCTTTCATGAGTAAAACATCTATACTAAAGATAAAAAATTAAATTAAATTAATTATACATTGTTTAAACAATTAATTGTTGGTATTTTTTCATAAACTTTACTTAATAGGGCTAGAAATTTCTAGTTTTTTCTCAATTCAGGGTGTCTAACAAGGATTGAGAAAAAAATTCCCTGACTTTTTCCCTGACTTTTTACTAATTTTATTTTTGCTTTCTTGCGACAAAAATATTATTTTTTATTTTTTATCATCAACAATAAGGAGCGTTCACAAATGATGTCACACAATTTTTTGAGATTCTAAACCCCCCCACCTCTCTCCCCCCTGTCACACAATTTCATGCAATTTCAGATGTGAAAAATATATTGTGTCACGTTTAGTAGAGACCCTAACTAAAGTTTATGAAAAAATACCAATAATTAATTGTTTAAACAATGTATAATTAATTAATTTTTAATTTTCTATCATTAGTAGATGTTTTACTCATGAAAAATTGCACAATTGAGAAAAAAACTAGAGATTTCTAGCCCTGAGTATAGTTTATGAAAAAATAACAATTAATTGTTTAAACAATTTAATAAATTGTTATACTTTTTTTCATACATAAGAAACACTTAAAAATTATTTTAATAGGTTATCTTTAATTTAATTTAAGTATTTTTAATTCGATTGCGAACATGGTTGTTTGCTAATTTGTTATAAATAAATAGTTCGCTTATTTATTAAACTAAAAAAAATTTTATTCAAAACTGTTACTTAAATTAAAAAGAATGCCTCTTGGATCATTAAAATGGGTTAACAATTTTTTTAAAATTAAATTTTTAAAAAAGTGTCTTCTTTAATTGTTTATAATAATAACAAAAGAATTTTTTTTGGTAAATCTTTTGATATAGTCTTTTTTTTATATAAAACACTATATAGGAAAAACAACATTTTGTCGAAGAATAAATTTTTTGAATTTTAGGTGGAACGTTCCAAAAATTCTTACTGAACAATAATTTTATGAGAAAAAGTTTCACTTGGAAAAGCAATAAAATTCTCCAAGAAACTTATTTAACTGAAACAGCTAAAAATTTCGCTAATACAGTTAAATTTGTAGTCGTTTCAGGTGAAATTTTTTCCCGTGTATCATAGTTAAAATTAAAAAATACATTAATTAAAATTTATAATTTCTAATAAATCAATTTTAATCTATTTATTAAGAAATTACTACCTATAATTAATTCATCATTAATTAGAAATTTATACACGGAGAGAGAATACATATTAAATTTTGTAAAAATATTTTCAAATTGGGGAAAAAGTGCGACAAAGCGAAATTTTGATATAAAAAATACTAAACTTTAAAAAAACTTATGTGAAATTTAGTATAATTATATCAAATATCAAGAATATTAATTAAATTCTAATATAACTTTAATAAATTTCACAAAACTTTTTTTAAAGTTTAGTATTTTCTATATCAAAATTTCGCTTTGTTGCACTTTTTCCCCAATTTGAAAATATTTTTACAAAATTTAATATATATTCTCTCTCCGTGTAACAGTTATGATTAACTATATTATAAGTTATTTCTTGTCTAATAATTATGTTATTTATATCTAATTATAAATAATAATAATATTATTATTACTATTATTATTTATTTTTTATTACTATTTTCATTATTGTTTATTTATTATTATTTTTTTTAATAAAAATCAAAATTTAATTTTTTCAATACTTAAACATTTTTTTCTACAAATGAAACAATTTTTTACTTTTTTAAAAACATAAAATGGAAAATTTACCCGAAAGCTAAAAAATATAAAAAAAAAGATTCTTCACTTTCTTTCCAACAAAAAACAATGTTTATCCAAAGGCGATAAAAAGGATTACGTATTAATTTTTAATACGATTTTATTAGTTGTCGTCAAAGTTGAAATTATTCAGAAAGTCATTAACGCTTATTACCGCGTAGAAATTGCTGAGGGGAGATTCTCGTTTCCTCTGATGCCTTGCTGTTATTAAATACATATATATATATAGTGCACAAAGTTATTGCGTCTTCGAGGAGATATAAGAAAAAAAACTTCTTTTCTTTACTCGCCCCCTTCCCACAAGAGAAAAAAAAAACAAGAAAAGAAAAATAAATAGAAATAAAACTCGACGCGGTCATCATCATCTTTTTATTTCTTCTACGTTTGGTACACCTGGTAGGAAAGAATATACTATTTCAAATTACTCTCATTTCTTAACTAGATCAAAGGACATTTTTTTTTTTTGCTCTCATTTAAAAAAAAAAATCTTCAAAGAGAAAAGTTTTTTTTTCAATTCAAATGAGAAATTTTCATTTAATTTAAGTTAAAATACAAGAAATTTGATTAAAATTTTTGTAATTTATTAGACTTAATTATGTTTTTAGATTACACGGAGAGAAAAAAAAGTTGTATCTGCTTTCTTTTGAGTTGTCATGCTAATTTTAAGAAGTCAAGTAGTTATAACTGGAGAGCCAGGCCGTTTCGACTTGGCTCTCCAGTTGCGTCTATAGTTTTCCTCAGTCAATTTACTACTAATATCGATCCAGCCATTGACACTACTTGAGGCAGCCAAGTCAAAACTGTCTGCTGTCAAATTGTGCTAACTTGGGTATCACAGGTTATGTTAACGCCTGTGTCGGTCAAGTAGTTTTAACCTGGGTCTCAGGTTGGTATAACCTACATTTTTTCTCCGTGTACAGGAATTACTGAAAATTTCGTATATTATTTTAAACATTTTTTTTACACAAATTTTATTTATTTTTATTATATATATTTATTTTCAATTAATTTTTTAATATATTTGTTTTTAAATTGATTTTTTTATTATTTAATTTATTATCTAATTATATGTTTATTATTTCTTTTTCGATTCAAAGGGAAAAAAACATTCATTATTAACCCCCAAGGATTCTTTTTGTGTCCTAGTGAGAAAAGTGTACTTTTTAGCTCTAGGGACTAAAATGGTTCTTTTTGTGTCCTAGTGAGAAAAGTGTACTTTTAAGCTCTAGGGACTAAAATGGTTCTTTTTGTGTCCTAGTGAGAAAAGTGTACTTTTTAGCTCTAGGGACTAAAATAGTTCTTTTGTGTCCTAGTGAGAAAAGTGTACTTTTTAGCTCTAGGGACTAAAATGGTTCTTTTTGTGTCCTAGTGAGAAAAGTGTACTTTTTAGCTCTAGGGACTAAAATGGTTTTTTTTTGTGTCCTAGTGAGAAAAGTGTACTTTTTATAGCTCTAGGGACTAAAATGGTTTGTAATTGTTCCAAGAGGTTAAAAGGAATTATTCACCCATCAGAAGGGGGAAAATAAAATAACTACTTCTTTTCCTAGTGGACAAAGTAAAATTTTTCCCCCTAGGGAGTAAGTTCGATCATTTTTTTTCTAGTGAAAAAAATACATTATTTTCCTAGGGAGTAAAATAGTATTTTATTCTTCAAAAGAAAGGAGTTTTTTTATCCTTAAAAGATCACAAAATAAATAATATAATAATAATAAAAATAATAATAATTAAATTATAATTACTCAAATATTCTACTAGTAAACTAATAATTATTAAAAATAATAACTATTACTCTTGTTATCATATTAGAAGAATGAAATTAGTTTACTAAAAACGAAAAAACTAATTTTTAATTTTGAAAAAGCCCGCGCTAGATTTAATTGCCAGAAGGCGCCATTGACTTTCTCGCTAGTGGTAATTTTTACGACAGATTTTGATAATATTCAAGAAAAATTACTTCTTTTTTATCAAAATAAATTAATTAAAGTAATTAATGATATTAATGCTTAACAATAAAAATTATTATATATATATATTTTTTGATCGAGTGATAAATTCATACTTATACAAAAGTTATTAATAGGTATTATTATCACTACACAGGAAAAAAAAAGTCTGACTCCGTTTACACCTTAAATTCAGCCCATGTATTTCACATAAGTCTGTCCTTGTTTAATGGGGCTGACTCCGTTTACACCTTAAATTCAGCCTCGAAAACAGGCTGAAAGTAAAACTTTTTTTTTAGTGTGTATATTAATAAATATTATTATTAAATTGTCAAGCATTAATAATAATTATTATTGTTAATATTGTTATTATTAAAAAAAATTATTTTACTTAAGACGAAAAATGAATTTTAGGATATGAAAAAGCGCTTCGTTAGATTTAAATGAAAGAGGGCACCATTGAATTTCTCCCTAGTGGTAATTTTTACGTCAAATTTTAGTAATAATCAAGAAAAATTACTGTTTTTCTATTAAAATAAATTTCTTTTTTTTATTTCAACTTTCTCTCTATTTCTGTGTATATATGTACTTTTTCACTTTATCGATATTTGTACAGAGCAGTTTCCCGTGGGAAATTTCTGTCACCAACGAGTTTTAAATCATTGCGCTAATCAAACCTTGTTTTCTCGACAATTGGTAATTCCAAAGATTTATAGAAATAAAAGAGGATGTGAAAAAATTTTCATCACTATTTTTTTTTGTAAAATTAACTTTCAATTGATTTGAAACAGTAATTTTCTTTTTTAAATGTCAAAATAAATAATGTGAAGATCCAATGTGAGTAGTAATTATTTTATGAACTTAGTTTGTTAATTTTATTTTTTTACTTTTTTAATTTCTTTTTTTTTGTATTTTTGTTAAATTGTTCATTAATTTATTTTTGATTTTATTTCTATTGTTTTATGTAAATTTTCTAATTTCTTTTTTTATCACTAGTGGGTTAAGTAATACTTTTTCGCTTTCGGGCAATAAAAATGTATTCTTTCTATCCTAGGGAATAAAATGACTGTTTTTACCCCAAGAGGGAAAAATTAATTTTTTTGTCACTGTTTTCTCCATCGTTAGTGGATAAAGTCATTTTTATTCGTTTTCAGGCAATAAAAATGAAATTCTTTCTATCCTAGGGTGTAAAATGACTGTTTTTACCCCAAGAGGGAAAAATTAATTTTTTTGTCACTGTTTTTTTCATCACTAGTGAGTAAAGTAATTCTTTTTCGTTGTGGAATAAAATTTTTTATCCACTCTAGTGTAAAAATAGGTCTTTTTAGTTCTGGAGGAAAAGAATATTACTCCTTAGAATTGTAAAGAACTGTTATCCCAATCCTAGGGAGTAAAATAATTACTTTACTCCCTTGGGTTGGAAAGTCTTTTTCTTCCTTCTCCAACCCTCTTAAATCTCGAACCTCAGGGAATAAAATTATTCATTTCTCTCCTAGGGTGAAAATCACTTTCTTTTTCTCCTCGGGAAAAATTTTAACCTAGGGAGTGAAATAATTATTTTACTCCCTAGTGTTTGAAACTTTTTCTTCCTTCTCCAATTCGGAAAAATGACACTAATTCTAATTAAAAAAGAATTTTCAATCAAACTAACCACAATTTTCGAGATAATTTTAATTAATAAATAATTGTTTGCGGCCATTGAGTTAATGAATGATTTAAAATGAATTTTCCAGTCATGGAACGAGATGTGCTGGTGAAGTGGCAGCCGCAAGAGATAATGGAGTTTGCGGTGTTGGTGTGGCGTACGATTCAAAAATCGCTGGCATTAGAATGTTGGATCAGCCATATATGACGGATTTAATTGAGGCCAACAGTATGGGACATGAACCAAATTTAATCGATATTTACAGTGCATCATGGGGCCCAACTGACGATGGAAAGACAGTTGACGGTCCCAGAAATGCCACCATGAGAGCAATCGTACGCGGAGTGAATGAGGTAATATTTTATTTTTATTCCATTTCCCTATTTTCCTCTAATTTTATTTATAACTCAATTTTTAAAATTAAAAAAAATTTTTTTATTTTTTACTCAATTTATTGTTTTTTTATTTTTGTTTTTCAATTTTATATTTCTTGTTTATTAACTACTTTTCATGTATTCACTACACTTGTGTTTCAATGTTCTTCTAAACAATTTTCATATGGAAAGTGTGTTTGAAAAAAATGCGAGTCTACCTGGGCGCGAACACAGGTCCTCAATATTCGCAGTAAAGCGTTTTACCACGCAGCTACGCCACATACCAAATATTTTTCTTCTCTTTATCGGCTATTTATCAATTAGTACCTATTCTTCTTTTTATTTTAGGGTCAGTTGACATTAAAATGAAAGGAACTTATTTTAATTTAATCTCTATAGTTTATATTGTTTAAAAATATAAAAAAATTTTGCAAAAAAAAAATTCAAGCTAGTTAGAAATTTTAAAAACGGTAAAAAAAAACTCCCTTCTCACAGTCCAAATGGGAAAGTATGAATTTTTCGACATTTTTCCACGTAATTTGTCAGTCATAGAAATTGAGTAATTTATGATATTAATGGCGATAAAAAAATGGAGAAGAAAATTGAGAAACACAAGTGGGGGGTCCGTGTTTGGAATGAAAAGAAAACATTTTTCTCCGTTTTTCTCAATTTTTCTCATGTATATATTACAGGGGAGAAATGGTCTTGGAAATATTTATGTGTGGGCTTCGGGCGACGGTGGCGAGGAGGATGATTGCAACTGTGATGGTTACGCTGCCAGCATGTGGACCATTAGCATAAATAGTGCAATCAACGATGGTCAAAATGCCCATTACGATGAAAGTTGTTCGAGTACATTAGCCTCAACGTTCAGTAATGGAGCTAAAGACCCCAACACTGGAGTGGTGAATATTATTTTTAAACGACAATTTAACATTTAAAAGATAAATTTTCCCTTTTTTTAATTAAAAAAAGGGGAAAAAATTATTTTCTATTTTGAAAACTAAAATTAATTTTAAAAAAATTCTTAAATAAAATTACAAAAATTTTTTTTGTAGCTTAAATAAATTATAACTAAAATAAAAATTTTTTATGTATAATTATTTTAGGCGACAACTGATCTTTATGGAAAATGTACAACAACTCACAGTGGCACATCTGCAGCAGCACCGGAAGCTGCGGGAGTTTTTGCGCTTGCTCTTGAAGCAAAGTAAGTTTCTTTATTGTTAAAATAATAATAATTACTCCTATATTACTAATCACAAAGATTTAGAAAATGTTATTGTTGTCCCATAATTAAATTTACAGGAAGTATTCTTCACTTTATAGACAATAATTACAACAACAAAAATTTCATAACAAAAATGTAGTTTCTTCAAAATTTAAATTCAAAAAATTTTTAAAAATTTTTTTCGGGCAAAAAAAATTTCTTTTAAATCTTTTTCTTTAAAGTGCTTCTTATTATAAGTATTTTTTTAAAAAGAATATTTTAATCGGTTAACAAGGAAAAAAGTGATATGCCTTTTTTGAAAAACCGACCAATTAGTAATAATCAATAATTAATTTACCTTTATTAATAGTCCACAATTGACTTGGAGAGACATTCAACATCTGACAGTATTAACTTCAAAGAGAAATTCCCTCTTCGATGCTAATGGAAGATTCGATTGGACGATGAATGGCGTTGGATTGGAATTCAATCATCTTTTTGGCTATGGTGTTTTAGACGCTGGTGCAATGGTTGCACTTTCAAAAAAATGGAAAACCGTTCCTCCACGTTATCACTGTGAGGCTGGTGTTGTTAACACGCCTATGTGAGTGGCGAAAATAAAAATAAAAAAATTATTCCTTACTTATTAACTATTTTCAATTTTTTAAATAAATAATATTTCAAAAATTAATATTACATTAAATATTTTTGTACATTTTACTTTTTTGTGTTCTGAAATTTCTTTGTTGTGTAATGTAATAAAAATAAAAAATTCTTTTTTTGCAAAATAAAATACTTTTTTTGATTTCAATATTTTTATTAAATACACTTTTTTTTTGTTAAATTCAATAATTATGTAATTTAATAAAAATAAAAAATTCATTTTTTTCAGGAAAATTCCAAGTAAGGGTTCAATTTATTTAAAAATCAAGACGGACGCTTGTGCGGGTACAGATTTTGCTGTAAATTATTTGGAACACGTACAGGCAGTTATTTCCGTAAATTCAAGTCGACGAGGAGACGTGGAATTATTTTTGACATCTCCAATGGGAACAAGGTTATAAGAAAATAAATTATTTAAACAATTTCCATTTCCACTTTCTATTCCTCTTCGTAAAAAAGAAATAGCTATATATATACAAGTTTTTAATTTAATAAGTATGAGAATTTTTCCGGAATTATTCACGAAATAATAAATTATTTTTTTAATAAATAATTAAATCTTATATACATAATTTTTATTGAGTTAATTTTTTAAATTTAGCGGATTTGTAAAATAATATTTTTAGTTTTTATTAACTGATAAATTTATTTATTTACAATTTTTTTATAATAAATTGTTTTATTTATTGCTTTATTTATAAATAAATGTAATTAAATGACTAAATATAATATAGTTTGAAAATTTTTTGAAAAAGCCCGCTTTAGATTTAAATTGCTAAAAGGCGCCATTGACTTTCTCGCAAGTGGTAATAATATGATTTGCCAAAAAAGAATTATAATATCGAGTAATAAATTTCAAATCGTATTGTATAAACAAAATAATTAATTATAAAAATCGTTTCAGATCAATGATTTTGAGCAGGAGAGTTAACGATGACGATCACAGGGACGGATTTACGAAATGGCCGTTTATGACGACTCACACCTGGGGAGAATATCCCCAAGGAAACTGGCAGCTTGAGGTAAGAAATTAACAAATTTTAATTTATATTTAAAAAAATTAAATTCATACAGAGATTTTATTTACGCAGAAATAGGAAAAAGCGGCTTACTGCGCAGTTGCGCATCCTGGAGCGCGCAATTGTTGAAAGTGGGGGCAATGAGTGCGAGAGAGAACTTCCAGAATTTCTCACTCGCTCTCATTGCCCCCACTTTCTACCGTGAGCGAGCCGCTTACTTTTCTACGACGAAAATTCCCTTATAGACAAAATAAAAAATTACGCTTCTTCTCAGGGAGAAAGAACGGAATTTTATTTAATAAAATTTAATTATTTAAATATTTTTTTTATATTATAAGAGTATTGTACTTCTTCAAAATTAAATTCAAAATTAATTTCATCATTTCAATTCAAAGTTCTTTGTGAATTTTTAAATTCATTTGTTTACAATATTCAATTTTACGACATTTAAATTATTCGTAAATTCTTCAAATTAAATATATATTAGAAAATAAAAACTTCAAATAATATTTAAAAAATTCAATTAAACTTTTACAAAAAAAAATATTTTAAAATTCAATTATTTCTAAAAATCCATACGCTATAATGCTTTTAATATTCAGTTATAATCTAAAATTTTAACTAAAATTCAGTTTTAAATCAATTTTTGATTAGAAAATTCTACTAGAATTCAATTATTTAAATACGAAAATAAATAATTTATTGAATAATTGAATATTTTTTAAAATTCAATTCTCATAAAGAATTTTATCAACAAATTTTTAAATAATTAAATTTTTTTGACGAATTTTAATCAAACTTTTAAGAATAATTGCATTTTTCGAGCAATTCGATTAAAATTGTATTAAAAATAATTGAAATTCTGCAATGAGTTTTATTATTTATGAAAATAATTGAAATTTTCGCAAGAATTTTATCAAAATTTTTTTAAATAATTGAATTGATACGAAGAATTTTATAAAAATCGTTTTAAATAATCGATTTTTTTCGAAAAATTTTATGAAAATTGTATTTATTTGAAAATAATTAAATTCCTGTGAAAATTTTATTATTTATGTAAATAATTGAATTCTTAAGAAGAATTTTATTATTTAAGAAAATAATTAAACCGCTATAAAAATTTTATACTATTTATGAAAATAATTGAATTGTTGCAAATTTATAAAAAATTTGCAAATCATTGAATTTATGCAAAGATTTTTATCAAAAAATTTGATAAAAATTTAATTTCTTCGAAGAATTTTATTATTTATGGAAATAATTAAATTTTTAAGAAAATTTTATTAAAATTTTTGAAAATTCTAATTTAATTCTTTTGAAGAATACATTTTAATTTTTTTTAAAATAATGAAGTTTCTTTAATAATTTTAATTGAAAATTTTAAAAGTAATTGAATTTTATGTGAACAATTTATTTCAAGTTTTTACAATAATCGTGTTTCTTAATAATTGAAATTAACATTTAATTCTTGAATTTTATTTAAATTTTTAGAAAATAATTGAATTCTTTAGAAAAATTTCTTTAATTTATTGAATGCAATCTCGAATTTTTTAAATGACTGTATTGAAAATAATTGAATTCCTAAATAGAATTTTATTATTTATGAAAAATAATTGAATTCTTATGATGAATTTATTGTACTACTTATAAAAATAATTGAATTGTTTCGAAGGATTTATTAACATTTCAGAAAATAATTGAATTATTTTGAAAAATGTTATTAAAAACTTTTTTATAAATTGAATTCTTTTATGAAATGTTATTAAAATTGTATTAGAAATAGTTGAATTTTTGTGTAGAATTTTATTAAAATTTTTGAAAGTAATTGAATTTCAGAGAAGAATTTAATTATTTCTAAAGATAACTGAAATTTTGATGAGAATTTTTAAAAATTTTTTACCATGATTGAATTTTTGCAAAGAATTTTATTACTTTTGAAAATAATTAAATTTTTGAAATTATTTGCAACTTTTCAAAAATTCTCCAAATTATATCGTTAAATTTACGAACTTTTCGTCCTTTTTCAATCAAATTTACCGACTTTACGGACCTTTTTTTAAAAAAACTGACTTTTACGGACTTGAAGTAAATTTACGTACCTTTACGGGATTCGCGGACCTAGTTCGAGCCCTGCGGGAGGAAAAGTAAAAAACGGAATAAAAAGACAACAAAAAAATAAAATTGAAAAAAAATTTAAATTTTCAAAAGAAAATAAATTTTTCAGGTGAAATTTCACTCGTCTACAGTTCAGAAAGGTTGGTTCAAGGAGTGGACCCTGATGCTGCATGGCACAAGAGATCCACCATACACCGGATTACCGGCGGCCGATCCTCACTCTAAATTAGCAATAGTGAAAAAAGCCCATGAAGAACGATTGAATGAGGATTAATTTCTTACTGACAGATTCAAATAACAAACAAAAAAAGAGAAAAAAAGAAGTAACAGAGGAACGATTTTTCAAAAAACTTAATATCTCTAGTCCCGGCAGTCCTTATAATATGTCCTCATTTTTTCAAGAAATTTTTTATATTTTTTACAAGAATACATCTTGAAAACTATATATACTGATTGATGCTATACATTGGGTACTAAATATTATCGTATATAATAGAATTCCACTGAGAACATCCTTATTGCTATTGTATAAGAATTCATGCATCATTCTCAAAAGAAGAAATTTTTATTCCGAAAAATTCAAATTTAGTTTAAAAAAAAATTTTTAAAAGCTTTTTTACTTTTTACTTTACAGTTTTTTTTTTGCTTTTTAAAATATTAGATTGAATTCATTTTAATTTTTTCTTCTCATTTACTTTTTTTTGTATCTGTACCTACATTTTTTCTTTTATAATTTATATTTTTACTCGAAAATATTTTTTATACTGTTGTATATTTTTGATATTTTACTCTTTTTTTCTTATTGTTTTTCTATATAATATATTTTACTACTATATTTTTTTATATTCTTTATTTTAATTAAAAAATTTTATCCTCCAGTATTTTGTGACAGTAATTTTTGCATCAGATATTACAACTTTTTGTATTTATTTATTTATTATTTCAATATATGAATGTATTGCCATTAAAAAAATTAACTTTTATTTTTGTTGACAAAATATTTTCTAACAGGATTAATTTATTCCTATAAATGTTTTTCGTTTTAGAATTTAAAAAAACACATTTTTGGCAATTACAAAAATTCTAAATTTTTTCTAAATTTTTAAATACAAAATCATAATTTATAAGAAAAATTATAATTATTTTTGTTTGTTGAAAATTCATTTCTTAATTTCGTCAATTTTTTTTTTATTTTAGTGTTCATAGGTAGATAATTTTGTTTAGAATCCAAAATTTTATACTATATTTCTATAATTGAAGATTTGTAGTGTTTTTTGTTAAATAAAAATGTTGTATTTTTTATTATTAAAAAAATTTTATTACTGTTATTATAATATTGTTTATTAACAATTGAAAATTTATTTTAAAAAATATATTATTGTAATTTGTTAAAAATGTATGTTTGTTATTAAAGTAATTGTAATTTATCATTAATTTTCGTTTTCGTTATAAATTTTTATCCATTTTTATTTTTAATATATTTTTTGTTACAAATTTTCATTTTCACTAATAATTTTTTTTATGTTTGAACCCAATTTTTTTTCTTCATAAATTTTTATTTTTAACTACATATTTATATCAATGTTGGTGAAAACAAAACAAAACTTTTTTGGACCATTTTTGCTTGTAATTATTAAAAAAAAACAGTGAAAATTTCACACTTGGCTAAAATATAAAATTTAAATAATAATAATAATAAAGGAAAAATCTTGCAAAAAAGCAAGTAAGTCATATTTTTTTAATCGAAATTTTGCACTCTTAGTGTTAACAAAAAAAAATCGCCCAGAGCGACTGAGAAAAAAGTTTATCTTTTTTAATCATAAAAAGGTAAAAAAAAACTGGAAAAATTTAATTTTTTTTTCATTTTTATTCTAAATAAAAATCTAAGAGTGCAAAATTTCTGATGCAACGAGAATATATCACTGGTCGTGTGAATAGTCCTCTCAAATTCTATTTGATTTCGATTTTAATTGCCTCAAATTTTTTTGTAATCGAAAATTTTTTTTTCTATAATTTTTCTAAATTAAATTGTTTATAAACAATTTAAATTAAAAATAAATCATTTATTTATGTTATCCATTACTCTTTTTGAAAGAATATTTTTTTATTCGAATTTTGTTGAATTAAATTGGTAATTAACTAGCTGATTGTTAATATTTAATTGAAGGTGACACAAAAAAATTTTGAAACTCAAAAAAAAATAAATAAAAAACAAAGAAAAAAATAATATTATTCTATTACTATATTTATTATAATTATATATAAAATTATTGTTATTTATTATTATATTATTATTGCATTATTATAAAAAAAAAACTTTTTCCTTTTTATTAATTAAATTAAGTTAAAAAAAATAAAGTTATAGCTAAATTAAATTAAAATAAATATTATAATCTAAAGGATTGTTCACACTCCCCGAATATCAGTATTAGAGGTCAAACTGTAATTCTACTGTTATTGTGGTAGTTGTGGTAAAACTAATGTACGAATAAATTTGTAATTCTTACTCTGTGACAAAAACCGAAAAAAAGAAAGAAAAGAAAAGAAAGAAAAAAATGAAAAAAAAGCAAGACATTTACTTATTATTACATTGTCTTCATATTATAAAAATAACTAAACAAACAGAAACAATTACCAATGCATCTTGATCTATAATTATTTATTAAAAATTATAATTAATTATTGAAAAAAAATATATTATTACTTCAAGCGGAGAGACAAGATTCAAAAATGGAACGCGGGATCTGTCCATTTTTTTGTCACAGTCTTTCCTCTATAAATTTACAAAAACAAACAGAATATTTCCTTTTCGATAATTTTTGTAGCTGTGCTACAAAAAAAATTTCTCATTCACATTTAAAAACAAAAATTCCAAAGCAAAAAAAAAAAGAAAAAAAAAAATAAAAAACAAATTTTTTTTCTCGTAAGTCTTTTGTGGCACAAGAGCGTAACGTAAATTTCTATAAATATATATTGTGTAATATAATTTGAAAAAAAATTCCTATATATATATTATAAATTATTACAAAAAAAAGAGAAAGAAAAAAAAATATGACGTGAATAATAAAAATCATGTCATGTACTTGAATTTTTAATTTTTCATAAATATTTAAGAAATCGCAGAAGAGTAAGTGACGTTGTATGACACATTGTCGAGAATTTTGTTAACTTTATCAATAGATTATTTATTGATATATTTAAGAACAGTGAGAAAGAGAAAATGGTAAAAAAGGAAAAGGAAACTAAAGTTATATTTTCAGAAATTTAATATTTGTTACTACTACATGCTATTAATTATGTTCCTTTTTTTTCAAATATTTATGAATTTCAAAGAGACTTTGTATTGTAAGCATCGAAAAAATTACGACTCAAATGATATTTTATTTATTTCTTTATTTTAACAGTAAAAAAAATAATTTTTCTGGTCTATCATTAAAATTTTGACGTGAAAATTACCACTAGCGAGAAAGTCAGGGACGCTCTCTGGTAATTAAACCTAAGGCGGGCTTTTTCAAAATTAAATTTTTTTTTTCGTTTTTAGTAAGTTAATATTATTTTTTTAATAAAACAATAATAATAATAATAATAATAATAATAATAATAATAATAATAATAATAATAATAATAATAATAATAATAATTATTATTATTATTATTATTATTATTATTATTATTAATATTAATATTTATTACTACTTTTAGCTTTTTTTGGGTTTTTAATTTTTATATCCATTTCTTTAATATCATTTTTATACAATATTATTGTTTACACACCTAAACTTTTATTTCAATTCGACGCCTCTCGTTCATAAAATGATAACATAAATGTTGTGTCAAAATTTAGAATTATCTTGCATTAACATTTTTTGATAGAATTATATTGTCTGCAAAACTTCATGTATTATTATATTGCACGCAAATTTGAATTAGAATTGTCTTGCACTGAATATTAAAAAAGAATTATCTTGCACAATTTTTTTTTTTTTTTTGTTAACTTTATATTGCACTTGTTTTTCAATTAGAATTATCTTGCTCTGACATTTATGTTAGCATTTTATGAACGGGAGGCGTCGATATTAATATAATTATTTATTAAAACTTGTTAAAAATATTTATTGAAAGTATATTTGAAATATAAATAATTAAACATTTATTTAGATAAATATTTTTTCAACAAAAAAAAAATCATAAATACTTGAGATTTTTTCGATGCTAAATTAATTTTTATATATTTTGTGATAAACCTAATGTTATGCCCGTCGAATATGAATAAATTTTCTCGTTTCTTTTCTCGTTTAAAAAATTAACAAAAAAATGTAATTTTTATTGAAATTAATTTTTTGCTGAGTCTATTTTATTTTTTATGTATAAAAAAATCTTATTTCATTTTTACGATTATTTCAGATTTTGTGAATTATGTACTTATTAAATTGTTTTTAAGTTTTAAATTATTATTTTCTATTCTCATGTAATTAATTTTTTCTATTTTATTATTACATATTTAATTGTTTCTATTTTTCTATTTTATTATTTATTTTGTTTATTTTCTATTATTTTCTATTAGTTTTTTACTTTGTTAATTTTTTTCTATATTCTACAAAAAAATAAATGAAACAAAAAGTTTTTTTTTTAATTTTATATATTTTTTTATTATTAATTTTATTATTTTCATTAATAATTTAATCTATTTTCTTTTATTTTTTATATTTAATTTTAATATTAATTGTTAATTTTTATTAACTTCTTTTCTTTAATTCAGTTTTGCTTATCTTTTTTAAAAATAATTCTTGTCCACTTGTCACATATCATTTTTTGCATTTTCAAAAATAAATAAAAGTAAAGAAAATGAAATAAAACAAAATAAAACTTATAGCTACGTTTCATAAATAATACATAACATTAAATTGTAAATAATATGTTTTTGTAATAATTTTTATCTTTCTTTAGGACGGGAATTTCATAACTGCGCTTACGAGTATATAGAATATTAAAAAGAAAAAAGAAAAAAATATTATATATATAAAGAGAGATAAATGAATAAAATCCACGATGTAGATATTATCTTTAGAACGAGTAGTAAAAATGAAGACAAACAAAAAAGAGCAAAAGAAAAAAAGGAAAAAAAATACAAAAATCTGAAAAGAAATATACATGTAAAACACAAAAATATAAATGTGAGAAATATCTCGAATTAAACATATATTCGTGATGATTGAAAAGATGGATTTTGATCTAAACTTTATTCTGTACAATATACGTGGATGAATAAAGTCTTTATTTTTTGGCCTCCATTGTCTTTCATGTATAAATTACCCGGAATTCAAGTTTTCCTTCATTTCCTCAAAGAAATTTTGCTATTTTATTGATTTTTCACAATGCTTATATTAATTTCTAGTCATTTTTAGTCACTTCTAGTAACTTTTTAGTAATTTCTAATAATTTTTAGTAAATTTTAGTCATTTATAGTAATTTTAAGTTATTTGTAGTATTTTATATTAATTTTTAGTCGTTTATAATAATTTCTAGTAATTAAATAGCAACTTTTAGTAATCCTGAGAAATTTTCAGTAATTGATAGTAATTTTTAGTAATTCTTACTAAATGACAATTTCAAGAAATTTTTAAGTA